CAGTTACACAGATATTTTTTTTTACTAAGTTTTATTAGCACAAACATGTCACGCTGCAGGTAGTGTAGAGAACGCAACATGACAGGGCTAACCACAAACATCATTTCATAGAGATCGATTAACAAAAAATAAATAAATTAACAAATTAAATCAAATTAAATAACAAATTGTCGAAAAAAGGTAAGATTTTGACTCTTAGACCTAATCACATGTCGACTATTCATTTTATGAATGAAGTTTGGCTTCAAATTTTAAGATTTGTTGGACAAATCAGTCTATACCAGGAGTATCATATTCTTCGTTTGCACGTTACGTCATAGATCCCCAAAAAATTCATTTAAACCTAATTTCCCATGAAATCGATTTTACTATAAAATATAGTTTAGAAAACTATGTTTCGAGATAATTTTTGAACTTATATGCGAATAATTTGATGAACAACGTGTTTTATTTGGTAGCCAAAGTCATGTCACACAACGCCTGGTCACGCGCATGAAAAGCCGTGGAAATCATCTAAAATTCTTCTRAATCGWAGTTTTTTGTTTTAATAWAGATTTAGAATTGCTAAATGTAATGAAAATAAGGTATATTTGCTACTTTGTACCGGAAATTATGTTCATAACAGTTTGCCGCCATTTCTGGTGGACTTCAGAGGTCCACCAGTACGGTGCCGCCATACATTTCTTTGTAAAGATCGGCATATATAAAATTGCTTATAAACCTTGCAGCAAGAGCTCGGTTCGACTCAAAATTTCACAGAATTACAGAATTTTAATACGTCTATTATGTGAAAGTACCGAAATTTTATCTTTGATTTCAAAACTCTCTAAAAATGTTGGTGCCGTGAAAGCGTAAAAACATGATCTCGCCATACATTTCCTTTTAAAAAAATAGCGTATAAAATTGCTTATATCTTGGCAAATGAAATTCTTTTCGGTGAAATAATTCTCAGGGATACAGAGTTTTACTCGCTCTTTCACATGGATTACTTGTATTTTGTTTATGACTATTTTTCCATGACGTACGTGCAAACGAAGAATAGGATGCTTCGCCAATTTGTTTTTGCAGTGCTGTCTTTAAATATATAGTTGTTATTGTTTTTCTCAAAAGTTAAACCTGAAATGCCACGTTGCAGATGGCTTATTGTTCTGAAAGCCTCGTCCGTACACAACATTAAAACACAATTATTGGTTCAACAAGAGCAAGCGTATAGAAAAATGGTTTCACAAGTACGATACCGTTCAAATTAGATGGATCGATTTCTTTTTGATCGAAATTCACAATTTAGTATTCGCAAATTTAGTTTCGCAATCTGATTGGCTTTTTCTCTCAACATCCGGCCAGACGGTATTGTAAATGATGTCATACACTTTACGCATCTGGAAAAAATCGCGCACCATACAGGTTGTAAATTTGATGGAAATATGTTGTAAGTGTCCAAAATGATGGAAATTTGATGGAAATCATTCACATCAAATTTACATCATTTTGGACACTTACATCATATTTACATCAAATTTACAACCTTTATAGCGCGCGATTTTTTCCAGTGATATATCTCTCGCACGAATAATTGTATCAAGAGTAGTATTCAAANCTTCTGTAGCCTTAGAACTTGACTAAGCTGGTTCTCTCACGGAAAGTCTTTTTTTCCAGTTACACAGATTTTTTTTTTACTAAGTTTTATTAGCACAAAAATGTCACGCTGCAGGTAGTGTAGAGAACGCAACATGACATGGCTAACCACAAACATCATTTCATAGAGATCGATTAACAAAAAATAAATAAATTAACAAATTAAATCAAATTAAATAAGAAATTGTCTTGTTTTATTCAAGTATAGGTGTCGAAAAAAGGGGTGATTTTGACTCTCAGACTTAATCACATGTCGACTACTCATTTTATGAATGAAGTTTGGCTGCAAATTTTAAGATTTCTTGGACAAATCAGTCTTTGCCAAGTTGTTTTGCAGTGCTGTCTTTAAATATATAGTTGTTATTGTTTTTCTCAAAAGTTAAACCTGAAATGCCACGTTACAGATGGCTTATTGTTCTGAAAGCCTCGTCCGCACACAACATTAAAACACTGCAATTATTGGTTCAACAAGAGCAAGCGTATGGAAAAATGGTTTCACAAGTACGATATCGTCCAAATTAGATGGATCGACGTTTTTTTGATCGAAATTCACAATTTAGTATTCGCAAATTTAGTTTCGCAATCTGATTGGCTTTTTCTCTCAACATCCGGCCAGACGGCATTGTAAATGATGTCATACACTTTACGCATCTGGAAAAAATCGCGCACCATAAAGATTGTAAATTTGATGGAAATATGTTGTAACTAAAGTGTCCAAAATGATGGAAATTTGATGGAAATCATTTACATCAAATTTACATCATTTTGGACACTTACATCATATATACATCAAATTTACAACCTTAATAGCGCGCGATTTTTTCCAGTGATATATCTCACGAATGGCTGAATGACAAATAATTGTATCAAGAGTAGTATTCAAAGGCATACGTAATTTGTCATAATTATATTGATTTAACGCTTGTTTTGGACATTGATTGTTGGAAATATTTGTTTTACTGCCATTTATATCTAATGCTTCTTCTCAAGTCAAGTTTTGATGAAAGGCAAAGCATCATCTTCTCGAGAGGCCTAAGTGGGACAACTATATGACAATTAGGCCATAAGTAAGTGGCCATCCAAATCAACTTTAAGTACAAAGCTTCTAGTTTGTCCATTTTATCAAATTTGTGTTTTTTTTTTGTTCCATTTTTTTCTCAGCTAGCTCAAATTGCTTCATTTGATCACATTTTCCCTTTATTAACTCTTTATTTTGCTTCAATAAGCGCAAATATTGTTCCACTTTTTTTTACTTTTGACTCAATTTTTGTTTTGTTTGTCTTCTTTATTGTTTTGTTCCTCTTTCATGCGTTGTTTGTAATCTTTTATTCCCCTCGCTCGCTCACACACACAAAAGAGCATGACATCACAGATCGTTAAGACTACTGTAAAACTTTGCTATAGTTTGTAAATCCCCAAGRAAAAAATATTTTCTTTAATTTTATTGATTTTAAGTTTTATTATTATCTTTTTTTTTTGAAAAGTACCATAACATAGCATAACATATTATATATTATTTCAGTGATATATAATATGTTATGGCTCTTTTTTCAAAAAAGACACGAAAAAAAAAATTCTAACTTTAAATTTAAATTGAAAAAGTGTCGGTGGSGTCAGCTCACCAAAATRKTTATTACTATTATTATTRCTTATTAATWATTATTYYACTTGCAAAATGTTTTATTAAAGGYCGCTTTTTACATACGATATCATTCAGCACACGGTCACARATTGTTKAGACGACCTTGAAATACAAGCACGTTTAGTACTAGGTAYTGCGATCTATTAAAACCGCAATGACAYCGATCATAGAACATCTACCGCYCCGGTGATTGAGTCCTCCATTGATGGGTCATCATTGATCTCGTATTTACAGTCAATATTTGGACATCAAGAACCAATTTCAAGCGAGGAGGTCGACTTTAAGCTTATGCCTTGGCAATCCATGAGCTGTAATCTCTACAACTAATCCTAAAATGACCAYCTAGACCACTGTACACTCGTTACCATGACACTGCTGTCATCAACACAMGGCTATATTGATTTTGGCAACGCCATTACCGCAATTAATCCTGACGAGTGCAAAATTAATTGGCCCTTAACGTGATGAGCGTTTACTTTATATGAGGGTGAACTATGCCCTCAATTAACATGGATAACGTTCAATGACAAGGTCATCGCTAAAGGCTCTGTTCAATAAGACCCCTTTGTATAAATAGCACTTTGACTGATGGAGTCTTCATGAAATCGCTGTCTTAGTCAAAATCATTCAAAATATTCCATCGAAGCGTTCAACCAGCCTCACTTCGCCATAGGAATTAAAGCAAAAAGCTTATAAACGTCARCACCTTATCTAGCTATTGGACCCTTTGGCATAATAGGAAGCCATTAGTCCAAGCTTCTGGCAATATCTTTAAGTTATTAAGAGCCTAGCCAGTGGAACAAAAGTGAGTTCGCGAAAACATTTAGTGCTTGCTGGAATCGGAAAGAGATCGAAGGTATGGCATCTATGTCTATAGTATAGTACAATGATATACCGTTATTCACCAATCACTATTATTAGAATAGGACGTGCATCCMTAGTGTAAAATGGCGTTTAGTTGTAATTCCAAGTGAGCGTCCGTAATGATTTTATGTTTTAGTAAAAACATATTCAAAAGTAGAAATTGAAGGAGAAATTGAAGGAGTATTATGTGTGAGTCCGGTCAATGATGAAATTCTAAGAATAAGAACGGAAAGAAAACACAAGATAACGAAGAAAATGATGATGATCAACCAATACGAGGAGCCTGAGGAAGAGGAAGAAGGGGAGGAGAAGAGAAACTAAGAAAGGAAATCGAAAAAACATGAAACAAATTGAAGACTTAAATTAAAAGAACAAAAAAAGGCCTTGTTTTTCTGCGGACCTCGGCTGAAGACGATAGAGTCAGTTCACGCATAAACCACATCTGGTGCATTATATAGGAAAACATGCATGTCCGTATGAAAACACTAATACATTAAAGCTATCTATAGCGACATGACCTCTAATAGAAGTCCATTTACAAAAACCCGCAAAAAACTTAGCCTTTCAACACAATCACCATTATGGCGAATCTTATCCTATTCATTTTAAAGAGATCAATACTTATTGACGGCGAGTCTTGAGTATCGTCCTGTTTTCGTACAAGAAGGACGTGTTCGTATCGTTTTACAGGATAAACCATCACCATTACCCATTCATGAACAAATGATCAAAAGTGCTGTATCTTCACTTCCGTGGGGGCTCGAAAACAACCATTTTAATTTAAATTTTGCATTTGGAGGGCAAAATAACTCCTCCTACCTTCCAATGTAGGTCACTTTTGACAGAGGACAAGATCGGAGGCTTCAACAGACTTTTATTTTGTTTACCATATTAGACATAAAAAATGCAAAAGATTGTTGCCGAAACAATTTAAAGTCAATGATGAAATTGTGATCTTTTTGTYATGCACTGTACGATGTATAGCTAAATTTATAATTGTATCTTTGCGTGCTTGGTAGTCCTTGATCGAAGATGGAGACAGTATTTGCGATGTCTTCGATCTTCGTTTTATGATCGAAATGGGAGCTTAACCAATAAACTTTAAATTCAAAGTATTTCTTCATTCTCGTCGATAAGTAAATGAAGCCATTTTTTTCGAATAGTAATACTCTTTTTCMTGATTTTCTACCGGCATGAAATTAAGCCCAGTCACTGAAATTTTCATAAGTGTTCATGCCGCTGCACATAAAAGATCCAAACAAACAGAACCTTTCTGTCTTGAAAAGTGGTAAAGCCATTCGCAAACAAGTGACACTCTTTTCGTAAATGAGTTTTTCAAACTCGCTTATTGATTTTTTTTATTGCTTTCTGAGTTATACCAAAAAATCTCAAAAAAACTGCGATTTTTCTTGTCTTAGTTCTGATACTATAAGCTTACGCGAATATTTATCAAATAAATGGTCAAATTTCTATTAACTTCGTATTAAACCTTTATTCAACTTTTATTTTAATAATTAATCGATTAATAAACGACAATAAAGATGAAAACGGCCGCGCGTATGTGTTCTCTGACAAGGAAAAGAACGTAAGAGCTTGTATTTTGATCACTTTTAGTGTGTCATGATATTAAAAATAAACTGTGTATACAATATAAATAATAGAAAGACTTCCAGACACAATTTTGAAACGCTGTCTTTCGTTTTCCCAATTGAGTGCRAGTTAAAATAATAACTCAGACGAGCCGTAAGTASGGCCATTGTTCTCTTAGAAATCGTCTTTCTACTTTACAAAACTTKTGATGAATGGCTWCAATGTTTCTAAACGATCATTTATGCTTGAGATTTGGTATTTGAATACTSGTCGAGTGCCTTTGTTTGGTCGCCTTTTGAAAAGTTAGAGCCCTCAAAGTGGTTGTCCAACGTTATGAAGCTGAATATAGCTTTAATGGTGTCAAACTTGGAACGGCTATCAAGCYGCATCATGTAATATGTATTTTAGGGGTGGATAAAGAAAGCAATTACCCTGTTGACATAATCCCCAGGACTAGGCTAACCTCACTGGTATTTACGTTAAGTTACACATGGTTTCTGGGGAAGACAAGCGAGTGTTTTYATAGTTGGCGATATTGCACTTCCCTCGAGGCGCATTATCCTATCTTTAAATCTCTTTTAAAACTTCTCTTTCACCATTGTACTCTGTGCTACTTCTGACGCGCTCGTCAACATCCGAGGATTATATCAGTGAATGAGTAGCCAAACAGACTTAAAGTTGCTATTTGAACAACAGCTCTCCCACAGAGGACCGGCCAAGTGTAGTAACTGGCTGAATTTGCACTGRAAAGCTCGATTCTAAGGGCCAATTACTTGTATTTCAGTGAAAAGATCGATTGAAAGCGAAGACAGCTGTTCGATGAGAATTAACTAATTCACAGCTTGGATATTGTGCGGTATATGAATCAACAATGTCGAAATCAAAGCTAAAGTGCCCTTCCAGCTAGAAAAGCTAAAGCATTCGTCGAGTCCAAAGGTGAGTGTTGGATATACTAATGTGAAGGCGGTACAGGATGTGTATCAATGTTTGTAGCCTTCATACGTTTGCGTCAGTAAATTGTTTATTTATATTTACCCCCGGACACAAGAAACACCGCGTCCGAACAATGATATTTTAAACACGGWAACTTTAAACRTTGGGTGAGCTTTTACCTTTAGTGGCTCGAAGGAKCACTTGTCAACAGATCATACAATTTGCAAGGTACTTACATGTTTGGTCTTTTTKGGGGGCACCGTTATTTTTCGTTATATTTTTAGAAGGAAAAAATATGTCTCCTCGCAATAAATATTGCAGACGTTTAGCTTAATCTTTATATAATGCGATGTTTATGTATAGCTGACAGACGAAAAGRTAGGTTTAAGAATGATATCGAGCATATGTGGGTCCAAAGAGGTCAGTTATGTACCATTTAAAGCATGACGAATGCTTTTGTAAACATGGCGGACGGGAAAATCCAGCTGAAAGAGATACATAAAAAAGTAAAATAATCTCATGACGATTGATGAAACTCACCCGAGGTATTGTATTAAGCTTATTAGAAATACAAGCAACGCTCTAGATGTGYAGTCTTGTTTTTGTCCGGCTAAAACGCTAACTTTTTGTTGCTGAAAATCTCGTTTGTCTGGCAGTCTACTTTGCCTAATTATATGATTGACTTTAGGCATTCATTGAATTATTTCTAATTCGTTTTTTTTGTATGTATACAAAGCCATTAGCTTCTAGTTTATGTATCCCTTTGTTCAATGAAATATTAAATTGGTAATAATAGAAAAACAGCAGCAGCAGCCATTCACGCATTCACACACGAATTGAAAAAATCATTTTTGGTCAAATAGCGGAATGGCTGAGAGTCTTTGAAATACAATCTAGGAATGATTCTGCGCAAGTAAAAGGAGCGGATATGATACTCTGATTACAAATAGAAATAAAACGTGACTTTTTAGCTTTCTAGCCAATCTCTAAGCTATAAAACTCAGAGTTTCTTTAATYTAATTGGATCGGGAGAAATAGATGTTAGCAATCAACCCTCATTGAACAAAAAATACAACCTGTTATGAAGACTAAGATTCAAGCTCAAAGAAGTTAATAAAAAGTATTTTTGAATTAAAAATTGTCAAGTAAGAGGATTGATATTTTTAAAGTTTTTGAGAAATTCAGCCAAATTATTTGAGTGTGTTGAACGAGATCGCTCGGTACTCAACAAAAAAAGGTTTTTATCTGACTCTCTATTTTGAATAATAAAATGGCTAATAGTTTCTTTGCACTTTCATTATTATTATATTATATTAATATATTATACTTTTATTTTAAAGTCTTATTTTAAGATTTTATTTTGAGGTATTTTTGTTTTGCTCGCTACTCATCTTTAACAGATTTTCATGAACTTTGTTTGCCGTTGTCCAGGTAACAATGACCAAGCTTGGCATTTTCCATACTACTAAAAATAAATGTCAAATGTCCAATTATTGGTGCAAGGGGCTGTACGAGTCAAACAGGCAAATAAAATGTTTAATTTGCTAAGCAACCCTAACTGCTAAAAACTACTAAAAATASATCTGTGAGTCGCTTAGTTCGAAATGAAATTTGCACAATATCAATTAAAGTTATATTACATAGACTGAATAGTTAGAAGGTGCTAATCGTCTGCAATGTTTTTCAGATATTTTTTTTTCTCTAGAGAAATTCATATATATTAAGCATAGCTACAATAATAGCTAATAATCACTACGTCCAACCAGTATTCCATGGTTTAAACCAGGTAATTAATTAAACTAAATCACCTTTAGCTGATTTAGTTTTTCATGTAGCATTATTTCAAATTTAATTTTTATTAATGATACGATATTAGAAAAGAGGAATTACTGACATCAGAAATGCATGCAATTTTGGTGCGCGATCCTAGAAAACAAGAACCCACTTTTAAGAGGTCGGCAGAACTTTTTTTCATGCTTTGTAACTCAGTATTCAAAAAAAAAATAAAAAAAATAGCGATATGCTGATAATAGAGAAAGCTGATTTTTCGAGAACAAAAAAATAACAATGACAAAGAAACAATTAAACTGGGAAACAATGCTGTAAAAGTGGCTGTTAATTTAACCAATAAACATTGCTGTCGGAGATACACAAGCAAACACGAATTAATAACAGGAATTTTGAGTTATCAAGGCCAGTCAGACGAAACTGTCACTACAACAGTGAAAATACTGTAAAAAATACAGAAAATTGTCATCAGGATTTTTTGCAAAYACTATTTTGTGTCCTAGTGTTTTTGCTCTGTTCAGTAGTTAGAATAATGAAATAATCACTCACTGATAAAAAAAGGATAAGTTTATGATAAGAAAACAACTGTCAAAGGTGCAGGAGTTCGTTTTGACGATCTAATTGATAACAGTCTTGTCAAATCAACACCATCCCACGTGAATTCGTCTTGTTTTTGGTTGCACTTATCATTTCTGACGCACGATGGAAATTCCGTTCTTTCCTTAGACAGAAAATGGCTTCAAATTAACACAGCAAAAA